CTTACAATGATTCTAGAGAACGTCCACGCTGATGGTACATTTATGCAACCGGATTGTGGAGCACATTTATTTCATTGTTCACACTTTGTACCATGGAAATCAATGCAACCAAATGCCAAGCAATACAACAACAACAGAACTATAATTTTTTTTTACTTTTTTTTTGACGCAAATTCTGAACATATGCCTGGTTTAACGGCGATGATAATTTTATTAACAAATAAAAACGAAAAAAAAAATCAAAAATTACGAAACAAGCAGAAGCTGAACAAAAATGAAGACAACAAAACGGTAAAACTTGCGGAAGGAAAACTCAAAGGTAGCCACAACATACAGAAATAAATTGGCCATTTTATTAATTCAAAAATTCCAACTTTCATCAGTTGCTGAAACCCAAAACAAGGAAAAATTACGTCAATGAAAAAAAGAGAAAAAAATAATAATAAAACAAAAAGAAAAGAACGATAGAAAAAAAAAGATGCAGGCATTTTAAGAACCAAAAAATAAGTATAATATGCTTGTTATTGTTTAATTAGAAAATAAAACTGAGACTCAAAAGCAACCTGCACAAAAAAGTTCAGCATCGAATGTTCTTTGATGACTATAACGCCATTTTAAATAGTCCAAACAGAACAGCTACAAACTAAGTAAGCAAAAAGAAAAAGTAAGACTGAAATACGTAATTGGTTTTAAACATATAATTGTATATTATCAAAAATTATGAGACTTTACAAACATTATTATACTGAAGAACCTGAAAATTGGATGCCATTAACAGATTCATTAATTATACACTTGGTTAACTGCATGGAGATTGTGAAGCGAAAGTAAAAGATGCCCAAGCTGAAAGTTTCAGAAGGTGTGGTTTTGAACAGCGAGGTAAGCTGGTAAAAAAGAGAAAATTTTGACCATGATATCTAATCCTAATCATTACAGACCCATTAAATAAACTGTAATAAAATTACTGAGGCATCTTTCAAAACTGAATAACAATATCGTACCAAAAGTTTAAAAAATAGAAAGATATTCCAGAAAAGCTCAGAAAATACCTTTAAAAACCCCAAATGAAAAATATATATGATACAGAAATCAATTACAATAAATATTTTAAGTGAAAAGCTCAAAAAACATATACCAACAGATAATGCGAAAGAAAAAGCAAGCATTTTCCCCCAAAACAGATTCAACTACCTTTTTTACAACTAAAAATTAGCTGAAAATAGCCAGAAAGTAACAGTTTACTTTAGCGACTTCACTAAACCAAACTCGAAAGAAATTAAAAATTCGTGATTATTAGATGAAAAAAGAAGCGTATCCTACAAAAAGATATTCTAAAAGCCGTCAATAAAACTTAAATAACATATTAAATAATAATATTAAACTTAGTTTAGTTTCAACTTGAAATCATAATTTTCCTCCAGAAACAAAAGAATATGAGGTACAGATGAAACACAGCTGAAATAATTTTTAAAACATTAATGATCCAGAAACTTGGCTTACTACCCGATGACAGCGCAAGAAAAAACAAATCATGCAGGTGTTTACAAGTCAGTACTATAAAATAACAGCAGAACAGCTCTTTCATCAAAAATTACAATATTCATCAGCCAAACACGAAAAAAGCAACAAAAAAATGCAGAGAAGACACGGCTTCAATTAGAAAATAACTTGAGTTAGAAATAACACATAAAGGAACCTCGTAAGAACTGTTTCATTACATAGGTCGTCATGATCACCTAAGACCTGCACGATAAGAGAGATTTTAAACCCGATTAGTTCAGAATCAGACTGACTTTAACTCATTC